CGCATCTTCTCAATCTGCTCCTTGCAACCGCCCACATCCCCGTATGTCACATCCGGTTTCTCTTCCACCGTCATCATCGTCACACTCTACCTCGATACCAACTCAAAGACAGTCATACCCTCTCCCGCACCCACGCACCTCGCATCTTCTCAATCTGCTCCTTGCAACCGCCCACGTCCCCGTAGGCCACATCCAGTTTCTCCTCCACTGTCATCATCGTCACACTCTACCTCAATACCAACTCAAAGAGAGTCATACCCTCTCCCGCACCCACGCACCTCGCATCTTCTCGATCTGCTCCTTGCATCCACCCACATCCCCATATGTCACATCCGGTTTCTCCTCCACTGTCATCATCGTCACACCCTCCCCCATGCACTCTTCCTTTCATGTTCAACTCACACTTACACACTATACCTCTCCCACGCACCTCTCGCATCTTCTCAATCTGCTCCTTGCACCCGCCCACGTCCCCGTAGGTCACATCCGGCTTCTCCTCCACCGTCATCATCGTCACACTCGGGTCGATCTTGGGCGGCAGGGGGATCTGGATTTGATACTTGTTGCGATCCACTCTGAAACACAAGATGATTGAACATGGATACAGGAAATCAAGAGCAGGGAAACGACAATCAAGAAACGAGAAACTGGGTCTGGTCTTCATGGTGATTTGTATCCAATTATGGTGCGAACATCTCAGGAGAAAACTGACCGAGCTGACTTTTCAGTCAACTCAAAAGTCTGATTTGTATCCAATTCTGGTGCGAACATCTCAGGAGAAAACCATCAGCATAGGCCCGAATCTAGATGGCATGGTGGTTGGCACGCGCGGCATTGGCAGATGGCATAAAATGGCATGGCATGGACGGTAGGATGGGATAGAACAGCATGCACGCACTCACCCCACTCGCACTCACCCCACTTTCATGCACGCACTCACCCCACTCTCATGCCCTCCTCAATGTCGGTCGGTGACACGCGGTCCCCCAGCCCCACCACGAACTGCACACACACACAGCAAGCACGCACACAGAGGATACAGTCAAGTTCACAATGAGGCTCTGATGCTGAAAGAAATGTCTTCCTAAGCGCCTCAAGATTCGGCGGCCCCCAAGCCCCACCATGAACTGCACAAACACAGCAAGCGCATACAGGGAGACGAGTACGCCGCCGATGCGATGAATGTAGTACAGATGGATGGAGCAACAGAGAATACAAATACACAAACGAGAAACACCACACTAACAGACCAGATTAACAGCCAAGTCAATAACGAGGCTGCATCACACAAGAGAAATACAGACATGGGAAATGGAGTAATGGAGATTGAAACAATGCCAGTCCACAGACGTGCGTGTGCATGGGTTGGGGAGGGGGACAGGAAGTGCGGGGGGGGTACGGACACAGGAAAGGAGGCATACTTGGGGAGTCCTGGCATACAGGGGGAGGGGCGCACCTTGGCGATCTGCTTCACGTTGATGACGTATTTGGCGTCGTCCGTGTTGGGGTTGATGATCTTGGTGCAGCGCGCCACCTGGCAGGGCGAGAGGGGATAGGGGGAAGGAGGAAGATGAGAGGAGAAGAGAGAGAAACGGAGAGAGGGAAAAGAAGAGAGGAGAATGAAAAGGGCGCTGGTTGAACAACGAGATCGAGGAAGAAGCGAGCTGGGTTTGAGTCAGGCGTGCTCAGTCAGTCAGGCGTGCTCAGTCAGTCAGGCGTGCTCAGTCAGTCAGGCGTAATCAGTCAGACGTGATCGGTCAGGCACACTCATTCAGTCAATTGTGGTCAGTCAGTCAGGCGAGCTCAGTCAGTCGTAAAAAAGGCAAGCCTAACGGGTGTGCTTGCCTGCAGCGGCTGCTCCTCCTGCATCATCTGCTTGTCCGACACTAGATCCCACTGGCTCGGTGCAGCCAGACGTCAGGTGCCTTGTACGTCGACTCAATAATGGTTCAGATAAAGCAGGAAGTGTGTGGGTGCGTGGGGGTGGGTGTGCTTGCCTGCAGCGGCTGCTCCTCCTGCATCATCTGCTTGTCCGACACCAAATCCCACTGGCTTGGTGCTGCCAATCCAGTATCCGACTCCTTGATCCCTGCAATGGAAACATCACAGACATTCAGGCGACACCATGGGACATAAAGCGGCATCAGGCGATGTCAAGTGACACAGAACGACATCCGACGAGATCATGCGGCGACAGATAGCATCGACTTACAGGAGGCGAAATCAGGTGACATCAAGTACAAAACCGGAGAACAAAGATAGAGCAACGAATTTGGATGTCCAGCTTCCTTGTCAAACAGATTAAAAGGAATTCTAGGTATAATCTGGTCAATAGGATGACAATTCCCGAGAAAGAGCTGGAGCTAACGTGCTTGATGCATTAGAAACATAAATTCACACTCTAAACGTGACGAATTCGTCTCTTGAACCTATCAGGCAGCTTTTTCTCCGTGTCGACCGCTGCAAGGACGATACGAAATTCGCTCAACTCGTAACGAAGGTTGACAGCTGATGGACAACTGACGGACAACTGACGGACCGCAGATGGACAACTGACGGACAGCTGACGGACAACTGACGGACAACTGACGGACCGCAGATGGACCGTTACCAGCGAGACGACTTTGAGAGGTCGTTGACCGTTACGACAAATAAACTCATCGTCAGCAACATAATCAAACACTCAAGTGCCTAGACTTACCGCATAGGTCGTTGACCTTCTTGGCCATGTCCTTGATATCCTTCTCAACCTTTTTGATAGACGTCGAGTACGGGCCAAGACCCTATATGTTGAAATAAATCGGGGAAAAGGAAAGAGGAAACAATCGAAACTATTCATGGGTGGAAGCTTGGATGTCAGACGACTGAATTACGTAACGATCTGGACACACGAATCGGGTCCAAACATCTGCAGAGAATCTGAACGGCAATGAAGCCTCCGCAAATAGTCTCCTATCCTAAGGTCCCTGCGAAACGCACATAGGACTTTAAAAAAACGATATCGTCTTTGGAGACGTCGAATCGTACTCATCTAAAACGTATGCGAACGGACATATGTCTTCAGCAGAGCGATATCGTCCTCATCGATACGTCTAATGGTACTAATCTAAAACGCATGCCAACGCACATATGTCTTTAAAAGAGCGATATCGTCCTCATCGAGGGCCGGCGGGTTCTTCTCGTCGAGATCCGGATCGATTTCCGGCATGATGGCCGCTCACGCGCTCGCACGGAAAGAAAAGGCTCTTGCGATATTAGAAGACGGCCTACCCGACGGCCGAGTTTAGGAAGCAAGGATTCGAGCCTTGAGATCTAAGCGGGATAGCGAGTCGGCGACCCAATAAAAACAGATTGTTGGCCGAGCCTTGGGAACTCACCACGTCCTTATGACTCGTGTGTTGGGAGGAGGGAAGGGAATCCAGGCTTCGTCTGTTGAGTGCCGCACTTAAAATACAGTGCGTACTTTACTGTATCTATCCCCGATCATAACATGTTATTGCGCAGATTTGAAGCTCTTTGTCACAGACAATCTCTTGTTGCTCCATTCTATTACTGGTAGCCTCAGAATTCAGACTTGAACGAAAAATACCGTTGCTCTTTGTGAGTCATCACAATAGCCGAGAACAACCACGTATCATATACCGAGCTCGTCTATTTACACTAAACACCAGAACCAAAAAGGTACTAAGAGTATTAGGATACATTCCGCTGTGGACACTGTCCCAATCGATGTCGAGTGTACCGCTCCGAACCGAACTAAACCAGAGACGCTAAAATTTCGAAACTAGGGTGCAATTTGGTGTAATACGATGCAGTGCGGTAGAAACGATTGAGACACTTTCGATTGGGACATGTCAGCGCGGAATGTACCCTTAGAATGGCAATGGCCAGCCTTCCACCGACGTAAGCTTTTTGTACGCCACTTGAAGCTTCTGTGTGATGGGCCCAATACAGCTACCGCTGTCTACTCTGCATCCGCTGCTATCTAGATTGTTTCCGATTGGGCGATTGTCCAGAAGCACACAGGGTGTAAGCTCGCCCATTGTCCCTGTTGTGAATATCTGGAGATGGGACCAGGCCCATCAGAAAAAGGGGGGTTTTCTTTAGCTTGGCAAGGAAAGTAGAAGCAAGCAGTGGCTTGTGTGCACACAAGAACATAACGTAGCCTTGAACAAACAATCTCACCTCGTCAGCAGCGTGCAACTGGGCCGTGGTGATGTTGCACTCTTGAATTGGAATGCCTTCCTGCCTCGCCAGCTCAATTACCTGCCACAGCATGAAGCATGACCAGAAGGTGGGTGACTGGATGATGGCTTGATGTGTCCTGACATGTATGGTGCACAATACATGTCAACCTCCTGGCAAGCAGCTGTCAGCGTCGGGTGGTATGCAAGCCCCTCAACAAGTTTCTTCCTTCTGTCAGACTGAAGAACCTTCTTCCTCCCTCACTTTCCTTCCTCCCTTATTCCCCCTATTTCCCCTTCCGTTTCTCCCCTTCCCTATTTCCCATACTTCCCTTCCTCCCCTATTTCCCCCCAACCCCACCCACGTAGTACCATGGCTCGGGTGATCCCGGGCAAGCAGCTGTTAGCAAGGGGAGTCAAGATGAAGAGCTCCCTTATTCCTCCCTCACTTTCCTTCCTCCCTTATTCCCCCTATTTCCCCTTCCGTTTCTCCCCTTCCCTATTCCCCATACTTCCCTTCCTCCCCTAGTTCCCCCCAACCCCACCCACGTAGTACCATGGCTCGGGTGATCCCGAGCAAGCAGCTGTCAGCAAGGGGAGTCAAGATGAAGAGCTCCCTTATTCCTCCCTCACTTTCCTTCCTCCCTTATTCCCCCTATTTCCCCTTCCGTTTCTCCCCTTCCCTATTCCCCATACTTCCCTTCCTCCCCTTGTTCCCCCCAACCCCACCCACGTAGTACCGTGGCTCGGGTGATGCCGGGCAAGCAGCTGTCAGCAAGGGGAGTCAAGATGAAGAGCTCCCTTATTCCTCCTTCACTATCCTTCCTCCCTTATTCCCCCCATCTCCTCTTCTCTATTCCCCCTTCTCCCCTTCAATATTCCCCATTCTTCCCTTCCTCCCCTATTTACCCCCAGCCCTCCCCATGCAGTACCGTGGCACGGGTGATCCCTGGTAGGCAGCTGTCGGCATGAGGAGTTAAAATGCGCCCCCTCTTCACCATGAACTGGCATATATGCATGGCAGGGACGGGGGGAAGAAGAGGGAGCGGAGGCGGATGAAAACATGGTGAGGGGAGTCAAGATGCGCCCCCTCTTCACCATGAACTGACACATACAGAGGCAGGAACAGCGGGAAGAGGGGGAGCAGATTCAAGATGCGCTCTTTCTTCACCATGAACTGACACTTGCAAGTGGGTACAAGGTGGGTAGCGAGATGGGGGGGATCTGGAAGAGCAGAGTCGGCCGAGGAAGGAGAGGGGGGAGAGAAATGGGGAGGGACAGCAACCCCAACACACGAAATCCCAAACAAAGATGACTATTTACACACTACGTTGGCAGCATATGGATTGCCTAACAAACTCGGGTAGAAAGCATAAACCTTTTGATGTGGTGCAGCATGCATACAATGTTGGTCGCGTTGGTTTCACTGACGTATCCATGCACGTCCAGCATCACTGCATCATCGGCCCCTGCGTTGTTCCCCTCGATCTGCAGGCACAAGCCACGTTTCATCAGGATCAAATCTTAAGAAAAGATGGCTCAACAATAGTGAAATAATATAGCCCGGATATTTGGGTCAAAGAATAGGTTTCCATGCTGAAGAGGGGATGCTTATTTCTATGACGAGACAAGAGGAGAGGAATATGAGTTACAACTCATTCGCATCAGTTTCAAGAATTTGTAAAAACATTGTCATGTTGCAAAATACAGCTATACTGGTCAATCACCTTAGCGAGGATGTTATTGATGAGGTTGTTGTGATGGATGTGCGAATCCACACACTGCTTGCAGGGAGGGACGAACGGATGGTTAATGATGGGTGGGTGAATACCAGAATTTGGAAAAGGAGGGATGGAGGTCAATGAGAAGAGCAAGTCAGGTCAATGAGAAGGGGGGAGTGCAGCAGGGACATCTAAAAAACAGGTCGATGGTTACTTTGAGTGGAAGAGGGGCGGAGGCGAGGGGGATGGACTCTCAGGGAAAAAGAGGGGAAACAGGAGCAGAAGAGGCAAAACAGGAGCGAAAGAGGGAGGGGAATATCTCACTTGTGGTGAGTTTCTTCGAGTCGAGGCAGTGACAAGCTTTATGCCCCGTGCGTTGTCATACACTGGGGGCTTCCACTCCGCTAGTACTGCGGAGGGTGGGTCGAATTCAGGGTAATGATTGCTGTGTGTGTGAAAGATATGAGGTACGAGTGTGGTGACAAGCTTTATGCCCCGTGCGTTGTCATACACTGGGGGCTTCCCACTCTGCGAGAACTGAGTGGGCATGGAGGGAGTGGGAATGAGTGGGGGAGAGAATTAGAAGCACCTGTGCAGTGACAAGCGCGATGCCCCGTGCGTTGTCATACACTGGAGGCTTCCACTCCACAAGTGGGGTGGAAGTGGGAGAGGGAACAGGGAGTGAGAGCGGGGAGCAGGGAGTGAGAGGGAGCAGGGAGTGAGAGCGGGGAGCAGGGAGTGAGAGGGAGCAGGGAGTGAGAGCGGGGAGCAGGAGAATGAGAAGTGGATGCAGTGATGAGCTTGATGCCCTGTGCGCGTTGTCATAAACAGGAGGCTTCCACACCGCCAGGACTGATAAGGAAAGGTAAGGCGGGGTAATACAGGGGAGAGAATGTACTGGGGGAGGGTGAGAGGCACATTGGACCAGGTCGCTCACTAGGACCAGGTCGCTCACTAGGACCAGGTCGCTCACTAGGACCAAGGCGCGCGCCTGGACCAAGTCGCGCGCGTGGACCAAGGCGCGCACGTGGACGAAGGCACGTGCGTGGACCAAGTCGCGCGCGTGGACCAAGGCGCGCGCGTGGACGAAGGCACGTGCGTGGACCAAGGCGCGCGCGTTGGTACAGGCGCGCGCGCTGGTCCAGGTGCGAGCGTTGGTCCAGGCTTAGGGTTTCGGGTTTGTCCAGGCGCGCGCGTTGGTCCGGGGGTGCGCGTTGGTCCGGGGGCGCGCGTTGGTCCGGGGGCGCGCGTTGGTCCGGGGGCGCGCGTTGGTCCGCGCGCACGCGTTGGTCCGGGCGCGCGCGTTGGTCCGGGCGCGCGCGTTGGTCCGGGGGCGCGCGTTGGTCCTGGAGCGCGCGTTGGTCCGGGCGCGCGCGTTGGTCCGGGCGCGCGCGTTGGTCCGGGCGCGCGCGTTGATCCGGGCGCGCGCGTTGGTCCGGGGGCGCGCGTTGGTCCGGGCGCGCGCGTTGGTCCGGGCGCGCGCGTTGGTCCGGGCGCGCGCGTTGGTCCGGGCGCGCGCTTTGGTACGGGCGCGCGCGTTGGTCCGGCGGCGCGCGTTGGTCCGGGCGCGCGCGTTGGTCCGAGCGCGCGCGTTAATCCGGGCGCGCGCGTTGGTCCGGGCGCGCGCGTTGGTCCAGGGGCGCGCGTTGGTCTGGGCGCGCGCGTTGATCCAGGGGCGCGCGTAGTTCCAGGGGCGCGCGTTGGTCCAGGGGCGCGCGTTGGTCCAGGCGCGCACGTTGGTCCAGGGGCGCGCGTTGGTCCAGGGGCGCGTGTTGGTCCAGGCGCGCGCATTGTTCCAGGCGCGCGCGTTGGACCAAGTCGCGCGCGAGGACCAAGGCGCGTGCGTGGACCAATTCGCTCTCTTGGACAAAGCGCGCACTTGGACCAATCACTCACCAATCAAAGTGCAGCCATAAAGATTGAACTGAGGGCTCATTCCTGATGTAACCTGGATACAGGGCAGACAGCCACACACACGGACACAGAGACACACACACAGACACACACACACGGACACACACACGGAGACACACACACACAAACACTCACGGACACACACACGGACACACACACACGGAGACACACACACACACACACACTCGCACGCACGCACGCAAGCACACACCGATTAAAATGGTTTCTCTTCACCGTCCTTCCCTCCTTGTTCATCTCCTTCATCTCCTCCCTTGAATCATGAGTGTTAGTGACATGATAAAAGTAGTTTTTGAGACGTCTCAGAATCCATTCCTCCTTGTTCATCTCCTTCAATCCCTTCATCTCCATCTCTTCCCCTAAGTATTGAGTGTGAGCGTGAGTCGCCTTTGACTTGAACTCACACCTTCTTCCTCTGTGTGACCATTGGCCCTCTGTACCCACGTCCCGCTATTTGTCCCTTACCTTCTTCCCACGAGTAAGTGTGAGTCGAACATGGGCGTAGTCCCTCATGCCGTTCGCAGCAAGGGTAGATACCAGCGCATGCACCACATGTTCCCGCGTTGGCACGTTTGCAAATGCCATAGCCTTGGAAGAGTCAAAGAGACTGTCGATTTCGTGGGGGGTGGGAGTGAGGGGAATACGCAGCAGAGTCATATCTTTTGTTTCAGGCTGGTAAAATAGAAGGCCATTCTAATAAAGAAAATTACATACTTGGGTTGGGTGGGCAGGGGGAGAGGCTGAGCACAGCACATGGGGAAGCAGTTGAAATAGCCTTGCAGTAAGAGTCCAGAGTTATACAGGATCTTCTTTTGAGTCGACTCTAAAGAAGCAGTTGACATAGCCTTGCAGCAAGAGTCCAGAGTTAAACAGAATCTTGTGATGGTCCAGATGCTCTTGCAGCAAGTCTGATGGAGCCCCAGGTTGGAACCATGTCTTTACGTGGCAGCGAAACTTTTGAGTTGACTCAAGAGTCATACACCCACTCTCTGGTCCAGATGCCTGTACAGCTTGAATATGCGCCCATCATACACTCTTAGCCTTTTTCTACACGAGATTGGAGAGGAGGAAACGGAGAAAGAGAGCGTGCGAAGGGAAACAGCAGTGGACACTCTCTCACCGGTCGAGGTGCTCTTGCAGCTTGAATATGCGACCATCATACACCCTCAGCCCCTCCCACACGGCGTCTCCCCCCTGCACTGCAGAGTCCAGCACGTGAATCTGCCATCCGTGCAGAGGACAGGGCACACAGAGGACAGAGGTGTCAGAGAAAGGAGACTCTGATTAGATCAACTCAGACGTCACTCTCTCAGCGCCTCCCCTCCCACACACACGGCATCCCCTCCCTGCACGGCAGAGTCTAGCACATGCACCTGCCATCCGTTTACAGGGGAGGTTGGATAAGCAGCAGGCGACAACTGTTAGCCGGCTCAAAAGCCACTCCCTCAGCGCCACCCCTCCCACCCGGCGTCCCCTCCCTGCACAGCAGAGTCTAGCACGTGGAAGCGCCATGCGTCCATACAACAGGAACAGGGCAACAAGCAGACAGAGCAGACAGCATAAGGAGACTAGGTCAACTTTTGAGACGCCTCATAAGTAGAGCAGACAACATAAGGAGACTAGGTCAACTTTTGAGACGCCTCATAAGTAGAGCAGACAACATAAGGAGACTAGGTCAACTCCGAGTCAACTAAAAAGTCAGACTCTCAGCCCCTCCCCTCACTCACCGCATCCCCTCCCTGCACCTCCCTGCACCTCCCTGCACCTCATCTATGGTACAGACGCAGTGCAACCCTACCTTGACGTCTACCAGCCCCTCCTCCCCCACCCACCCACACCAGCAGCCTCTTGTTGGCCGGCACAGGGAGAGGCGGCGAGGGGAGAGGCGATGCACTTGTAGCCCATATGCCCCTTACCTTATTCACTCTACATGCATCATATGCCCCTTACCTTATTCACTCTACATGCATCATATGCCCCTTACCTTATTCACTCTACATGCATCATATGCCCCTTACCTTATTCACTCTACATGCATCATATGCCCCTTACCTTATTCACTCTACATGCATCATATGCCCCTTACCTTATTCACTCTACATGCATCATATGCCCCTTACCTTATTCACTCTACATGCATCATATGCCCCTTACCTTATTCACTCTACATGCATCATATGCCCCTTACCTTATTCACTCTACATGCATCATAGCACAGGAATCTACCTTGGCGTCCCGCCTCGGCACCAGCCCCTCCTCCCCCACCCACACCAGCAGCTGCTGGTTTGCCGGCACAGGGAGAGAGGGCGAGGGGAGAGGGCCCTTGCAACCCATATGGTTACGATGTAGCTCAACCAACCTACCTTGGCGTCTCGTCTGGTTACCAGCCCCTCCTCCCCCACCCACACCAGCAGCTTCTCGTTAGCCGGCACAGGGAGAGGCGGCGAGGGGAGGGGTGAGGCGGAGATAGAGGGGGAGATGGTGGTGGGAGTGGTGGTGGAGGAGTTGGCAGTGGTGGTGAGCGGTACGAGGGCTTTGGAGAGGAGCAAGGAGTAGAACGGCCGACAGTCCTCCAGGAGAGAATAGTGGGCCATTGGGAAGGGCTGAGAGGAGGGGGTAGGGAGAGGACAGAGAGCGGGAACACAAACGGAAGTGGGAACAGAATGGTATGAGTGGGTGCAGTGTGGTGTGGGCATCTTAGGCTATAGAGCAGGAAGGGCAAAGCCAGTGGGATTGAATTGACTCAGGAAACACCATAAAAGCATGATTGTAAATTGAAGTAACGTGACATGCACTGAAGTGAAGTTTAGGTCACCTTGGGGTAAAGAGCAGGGGGAGCGAAACCAGTGGAGGCATGTGGGGTGGTATACCACCACCACGGAGCCCACTCCTTGTTCTTCTATTTTTGAGACATCTCAAAAGTCGTCTACTTACATGAGGTGGTATACCACCACCACGGAGCCCACTCCTTGTTCTTCTATGACCGAGGAGAAGAATTGCATGAGTGAAGAGCAGCGTAGGTCACCTTGGGGTAGAGAGCAGGAGGGGCGAAACCAGTGGAGGCATACGCGGTGGTATACCACCAAGGCGCCCACAACTTCGTTCCTCTGTGAGACTATCAGAATTCGCAGAACCACCCAGGTGAAGAAATTTGTAGGTCACCTTAGGGTAGAGAGCAGGGGGAGCGAAACCAGTGGAGGCGTGTGTGGTGGTATACCACCATGGAGCCCACACTCCGTCCTCTGGCCGTTTCCCTGCAGGCCAGCTAGGGAAGGAAGCACAGAGAGAGGGAAGTGATGGCATGACGAGTGGTGTGTTTACCGTGCAGTGTGGTGGTGGTATACGACCATGGGGCCCACACCCTGTACTCGGGGCGTTTCCCTGCAGGCCAGCTAGGGAAGGAAGCACAGAGAGAGAGAATAGGGAACGACCATGGACATACGTGGTGCATTAGTGTATCGCCATAGGGTGTGCTGGTGGTACAGTGGTGGTATACCACCAGGAAGCCCACACCCCATCCTCTGGGCGCTTGCCTGCAGGCCAGCTGAGGAAGGCAGCACAGAGAGAGAGGGAAGTGCATTGCTCTGCCACCAAGTAGTGTGACGGTGGCATGAGTGGTGGTATACCACCAAGGCGCCCACACCCTGTCCTCTGGGCGTTTCCCTGCAGGCCAGCTAGGGAAGGAAGGAAGGGGAGTGGTGGGGATGGGGTTATACGGAGCACAATAACATAACACCCATTCATACTTACCTAAGAGATGCTGGTAGAGAAATTGACCAGAATGCCTAAGAGAATGCCTAAGAGACTGCCTAAGAGACTGCCTAAGAGACTGCCTAAGAGACTGCCTAAGAGACTGCCTAAGAGACTGCCTAAGAGACTGCCTGAGAGATTGCAGTACAAACTTACGAGAGCATTTCCGGATAGAAGGGGATGTCTAGCGCTTGGCAGAGCGCCCTGAGAACGCCCTGTTCATCAATTGGGGGAGGAGGGGGTGGAGGGGGGGGTGGGGAGGGAGGATGCAGGGAGCAGGGAGGCAAAAGGGTGAAGACAGCATGTGCAGGTCCGGAAGGAGCTCGAAAGCATGGGATGTCTAGCGCTTGGCAGAGAGCCATGAGAACGCCCTGTTGATTGAACTCTACCTGTGAGTGGGATTGCAGTCTCTACCTGTGAGTGGGATTGCAGTCTCTACCTGTGAGTGGGATTGCAGTCTCTACCTGTGGGTCAGCTCGAAGCCTAGAGGCATCCGTCCACCAGGGGCGGATTAGATGGCGAGGAGGTGGGGGAGAGCCGTCTCAGAGAGAGAAGGGGGGGATGCCTTGCAGTCAACCTGGGATTTGGAGTGCAGCCTAGTGGCGTCCACCTCAGGTGGGGGTCGGCCCATGTGGGAGAGCGAGGGGTGGATGGTGAGTGAGGAGGTCGAGGAGAGCCGTCTCAGAGAGAGGAGGGGAGATCTCTGATAGGAATGATAGCAATGGTGTCTATCTGTGCAATTGCAGGGTACCTGGGGGTTGGACTGCAATCGTGTAGCGTCCACCACGGGTGGGGGTCGGTCCATGTGAGAGAGCGCAGAGTGGATGGCGAGGAGGTGGGGGAGAGCCGTCTCAGAGAGAGAAGGGGGGGAGACCTCTCCGAAAGAGGGCTGGCGGGGGGGTGGGGAACGGGGAGAGGGGAGGGGCAGAAAGGAGAACGACATGCAGCACCTGTTACCAAGGAACATAGGAAGCAACAGTAATAGGAGGTGGGGAAGAGCTGTCTCGGAGAGGGATGGGGGAGAGACCTCACCAAAAGAGGGCAGGCAAGGCAAGGGGGTGGAGTAGGAGGAAAGGAAGAAAGGAGAGAAATGCAGTGATGGTGAAGGTAGGAGGTAGGTAGCATAGGAGAGCAACAGCGTCAACGAGAATGGAGAAAAGAAATGAGAGTTGGAATGTGCGCCTCAGCTGTGCGCCTCACAATGAGTAGCATGGGGCCGCGGATGAGAACGACATGCTTCCTTAGGCACCTCACAAAACGTCATTTGAGAGCCTCACAAAGACTTTTGAGGTGCCTATACAATAGAGCGCGCGCCTCACAATCAGCAGCATGCGGCCACGGATGAGAACGACATGCTTTAAGGTGCCTCAGGTCCCGCCTTTCGACGCGCCTTAAAATGAGTGGGTGAGTAAGTGAGTGCAAGAGTGAGTGCGCGCCTCACAATGAGCAGCATAGGATCGCGGATGAGAATGACATGCTGCCCGCGTGACAGTAGCGAAGCCTGAAGCTCCTCTCGGCACTGCTTTGCCATGTGCTGCCAGCGGGGAGGAAAGAGGAGTGAACGAGAAGCATGGATGACATGCGTGCATGGTAGACTGAGAGCGAATGACAACAGTGAAGCCTGGAGCTTCTTCTTGCACTGCTTTGCCATGCGTGCTGACAGCAGAGTGGGGAGGTGTGAGTGGGCGGGGGAGTAAACGAGAAGCGTGGTTGACACACATGCTGGTACACTGAGAGCGAATGACAACAGTGAAGCCTGGAGCCATTCGCGGCACTGCTTTGCCATGTGCTGATAACATAGTGGGGAGTAATTTCATGGTAGAGAACGTGTGATGAAAGATTGATACGCACAGAGGGCGAAGGAGGACATTGAACTACTTGGGAAAAAGGATATTCAGTAAAACACACCTTAACAAAACGAAGAGGTTTGGATCTTTGAGGGCCGTACACCACTTCGTCAACCACCCTCTTGCCGTTAGAATCCTGCCATGGGGCGAGGAGTGGGAGCAGATGCAAGAAGCAAACTCTGGGCGCGGGCCTAATGAAGAGGCTTGGAGCCTCGAGGGCCGTACACAATTGATCAACCACCCTCTTGCCATTAGAATCCTGCCACGTGGCGAGGAGTGGGAGCAGATGCAAGAAGCAAACACAGGTGATCACAGCCTTGCATCAATGCATCTGCTGGCGTGGGCCCATTTGTTCATGGGTGCTTTTAATATTTTCCAAAAACACCCTCCAGCTGCAGGGCGCATTCAACCGGTTGGAGAAGCACAGTTGTAACCCTATGTATGTTTGAGGCGCTTCCAGGTTAAGCGCAGCCGTTTCTGCCTGTACAGCCGTACAGCCCCCTTCTTCTCTCACCATGCTATCCAGTACCAGGTGCCTGTACGGCCGGGGAGCACCCGTGACTACCAGAGCTGCCTTTCACGCTCTATCTGTTGCCATGTGATATCCAGCCACCGTCGCACCATGCTCCATGCTCTCCCATTTTCCTCTCATCTCACCATGCTATCCAGCACCAGGTGCCTGTACGGCCGGGGAGCACGAGACAGTGGTTTCCAAGATGATGATTTGTAACATGCTATCCGTACCGCAAAGCACACACTCGTATCTCACCATGCCGTACCGCACAGCACCATCTCACCATGCTATCCAGCACCAGCTGCCTGTATGGCCGGGGAGCACCGGTGACTGTCAGGAAGTCGGCATAGAGAGGCTCGTCCACCACAACCGTGTCTGGGCGCTGCAGGAAGTGGAGGAACGGAAGGGGGAAAGGATTGGGAGGTGTGAGCGAGGAAGTCGTATCCTAAAGTGACTCCCAGGATACGGAGGCTCGTCCAGCACCTCTGTGCCGGGCGCTGCAGGAAGAGGAAGGTTAGGGGGGTGATTGGGGGGCAAATGGAAGGGTCACGAAGTTCATAAACTCGGCATATTAAAACCCGTCCACCACCTCCGTGTCTGGGCACTGGGTTGTTTTTGAGACGTCTCAAAAACAGCCTCGCTGCACGTGGCATATTAAGGCTCGTCCACCACCTCCGTGTCTGGGCGCTGGGTGAGGGAAAGGGGGAGAGGATTGGAGAGGTGTGAGCACGCTATCTGGTTTGGGACTGTCGTGGGTTGGTAGAGGGACGGCGCGAGAGTGCTGGCGGCTGAGAAGTTTTAAACGTGCGTAAGACCGCCATAGTATGGCTTAAAGTAATCCTAAACCGAGATCAGCCATGCAGAGAGAAGAGTCGGATCAATTCGTGCCTGAGCGAAGGAGTACATGAGGCTTGTGCTGAGTGACCGCGGTCCCCGTTACAAGGTGCAAACGTGCTTACACTATAACGATACATACACCCGGCGGACTACTAGACTACGATCAGCCGTGCCTGAGCGAAGGAGTACATGAGGCTTGTGCTGAGCGACCGCGGTCCCGACCAGAGGTTGATCACCCAATCCGCGTCCGACACGTCACAAGGCGACGCCATCTGCGGCGCGCCAGCGTGTTCCGGGAGCGTTTCCGATGTCATTCGGGCTGTAAGTCGGTTCGCGTTCGACGAGCGCAATATAATTTAAATCCCGTAGCGCTCCGAACGTCGTAGCAGGCCCGTTACTTAGTGTCAAGTCTTATAGCAGCCAGATTCTTGGGACGTTGGGAAATTGGTCTCAAAATTTCCTCTCTATCTAATGGTAATTCAGTTCACCAGTTTCACGGAATGCGAAGATGCGACTTCTGAGGCATCTCGAGTTTCGTTAGGTGTGTTCGCGACCATTAGTAACAAAGGGACCTTGTCGTGCCAGCTCTTTTTTTGAACGAACTGAGTCTCGCGAAGGCAGGAATTTTGCTGTCAGCGTCAATCGATAGACTCCTTTTGCCTATAACGAGGGAGCGTTCGAACAATAACCATCTTTACACTGACCACCTGAAAAGTGTAGTTGTGACGGCTTTGCCGAACTTGCCTATCACAGTCGCAGAGATTCTTGTCATCGTTTCTCGGTGCTTTGCGAAAGCTCAGCAAGCACCGTCGATCTGACACCAGCCAACAGATTCTTGCCACATCTGCAGGTGAAAGTTCTCGAGACGCCCATTGTGACATTCCCGAACCGCACTTCAGCCCAATGTGGAATTCGCGAGGCCAATTTGCCTGATTCCAGTAACTTCTAGGTTTGATTTGAAAGAGTGCCAACCTCCATTCTACAACTTTCTGGCAGCTTCTGCAAGCTCCAGTCATTCCATCCAGCACGAACGCTTTCGACTCCCTTTTCTCCCAATTCCTACATATAAGGGTGGACTGGCAATTACGGTTTCATCAAATCAAAACAGCGATTAAGCTCTCAACTCTCTCTCAGCAGTCACGCTCTCGCGCCTCTCAAGACTCAGCAATTATTAGCTCTCTGAAACTTTCTGGACTTGACTCAGCCAAGGATTCTCTCCGCTCTTTGTTCCTATCATCACAGTACCTGAACGTTTCCTCATATCTCAGTCATGGCGAAAGGCGAAGGCCCTGCGATTGGCATCGACCTCGGCACCACCTACAGCTGCGTGGGCGTGTGGCAGCACGATCGCGTTGAGATCATCGCCAACGACCAAGGCAACCGCACCACCCCGTCCTACGTGGCATTTACGGACACGGAGCGCCTGATTGGCGACGCGGCGAAGAACCAAGTGTCCATGAATCCCGTCAACACCGTTTTCGGTATGTCCCCATGCTAAATCATCCACCGTTTCCGACACTCCGCTTCCTCTACCCCTACGTCCGCACTGAATCATAGCATACCTTGAATGTGCCTGAAACACGCTCATTCGTCATGTCTGCTGATTTATCACTTGTTTCTCTTCACTCGTCTCGCATACAGATGCGAAGCGTCTCATCGGAAGGCGGTTCTCCGACGCGCCCGTGCAGAACGACATCAAGCTGTGGCCGTTCAAGGTGATCGCAGGCGCGGGAGAGAAGCCGATGATCCAAGTCGAGTACAAGGGCGAGACCAAGCAGTTCGCCGCAGAGGAGATCTCGTCCATGGTGTTGACGAAAATGAAGGAGATCGCAGAGGCATACCTCGGGACTTCCGTGAAGAACGCGGTGGTGACGGTTCCGGCGTATTTCAATGATTCGCAGCGCCAAGCGACGAAAGATGCGGGTGTGATCGCTGGGCTGAACGTGATGCGAATTATCAACGAGCCTACTGCAGCTGCTATCGCGTACGGGCTCGATAAGAAGAACAGCAGCTCGTCGGAAAAGAACGTGCTAATCTTCGACCTCGGCGGAGGTACTTTCGACGTGTCGCTTCTTTCGATCGAGGACGGCATTTTCGAGGTGAAGGCGACGGCTGGCGACACGCATTTGGGTGGCGAAGATTTTGACAACCGCATGGTGCACCACTTCGTCCAGGAATTTAAGCGGAAGTACAAGAAGGACCTCAGTAACAACCCGCGGTCTCTTCGCCGCCTTCGCACGGCCTGCGAGCGCGCCAAGCGAACCCTCTCCTCTACCGCGCAAACCACCATCGAGATCGACTCGCTCTACGAGGGAATCGACTTCTACACCACCATCACCCGCGCGCGCTTCGAGGAACTCAACATGGACATGTTCCGCAAGTGCATGGATCCAGTGGAAAAGTGCCTCAAGGACGCGAAAATGTCCAAGGCGCAGATCCACGACGTGGTGCTCGTCGGCGGGTCTACGCGCATCCCCAAGGTGCAGCAGCTACTGCAGGAGTATTTCAACGGGAAGGAGCTCTGCAAGAGCATCAACCCCGACGAGGCCGTGGCGTACGGCGCGGCGGTTCAGGCGGCGATTCTGAGCGGCGAGGGGAACGAGAAGGTGCAGGATCTGCTGCTGCTCGACGTGACGCCGCTCTCGCTTGGATTGGAGACGGCCGGAGGGGTGATGACGGTGCTGATTCCGAGGAACACCACGATTCCGACGAAGAAGGAGCAGGTGTTTTCGACGTTTTCGGATAACCAGCCGGGCGTGCTTATCCAGGTGTACGAAGGCGAACGCGCTAGGACTAAGGATAACAACCTGCTCGGGAAATTCGATCTCTCGGGCATTCCGCCGGCGCCACGTGGCGTGCCGCAGATCACCGTGACGTTCGACATTGACGCGAATGGCATTCTGAACGTGAGCGCGGAGGACAAGACTACTGGGCAGAAGAATAAGATAACGATTACGAATGACAAGGGGCGACTGAGCAAGGAGGAAATCGAGCGGATGGTGGAGGAAGCAGAGAAGTACAAGGATGATGACGAGCAGCACAAGAAGCGGGTTGAGGCGAAAAACGCGCTCGAGAATTACTCGTACGGCATGCGTAACACCGTTCGCGATGACAAGATGGGGGGGAAGCTGTCGCCCGAAGATAAGAAGGCGATCGAGAAGGCAGTGGACGAGACGATTGATTGGCTGGATAAGAACCAGCTCGCCGACGTGGACGAATTTGAGGATAAGCAAAAGGAGCTCGAAGGGATTTGTAACCCGATCATCGCAAAAATGTACCAGGCAGGAGCAGGACCCGTGCCAGGGGCGGGAGGGATGGGGGACGTGCCAATGGGAGGTGGTTTTTCCAGCGAAGGGGACGGGCCGAAGATTGAGGAGGTTGACTGAGATGAGAAAAGGTGGAGACTCAATCTGAGCATGCCACACCCTTCAGTTGAATATTAGTGCTTCAAATATTTGTAAAATGTTAAATGTGTTTTTGCAATATGTCCTAGTAATATTAAATATTCCAAAGGTATACAGGAGTACATTGGCATGGCTCAAACCGTGAACTTGCATCTAGTCAACCATTGGCGTATCTAATACTCCACAGAAGTGTCCCTGCACAAACAAAAAGGATGGTAGTCAGTGCTTACGTTCAAGAGGTGCCTAGGTTTGCTCCCACCCTTCTCCACACTCACCAATGCACACCTTCACGTCCCCTGTGTGGTGCTACTCACATTTGTGCAAACAGCGAAGCAAATTGGCTTAAAAGAGCTTCTGCTGACCTGTTCTAATGCATTCCAAACCTGCATGTGCAATTCACAATCAGAAGTATGAGGCAGAGAGATGTGCCGATGGAGTGTCTAGCACCGCTGCTATTTGAATCCATCCCTGCTAGTTGAATCCAGCCCTGCTAGTTGAAGCCATTTAGCACTGGTAATTGAATTAATGATCAATGGGAGTGCTACTCACCTTGCAAAAGCAAAATGGACATTCCTCCTCTGTACCATAAGGACATAAGGAGAGCTCGTGATAAAGCCTGCAAAATTGATGGGATATGATAGCTCATGGGCGGTTCAGAGCACAAGCTTGCTCCATCAGCATTCGATTAGTGTCAGAATGACGAAGGGAGAGAGAGCGAGCGAGGGAGGTCCGAAAAAATGGGGCAGTAGTTTGTACCTGGTGGGTGTAAGGCAGAAATGAGGGATGGCAAACGGGAAGGAGAAGAATAGAAAGACAAGCAAGGCAGCGACAGAGGAGTGAGGGAGGTGCAAGGAAGTGACAGCGTGCTGACTAAGCACCTGGTGCGTGTGAAACCAGAAATGTAACCCTGGCAGACCGAAACATCCCAAACACTGACTGAGGTCTTGAGCAGAGAAAACGACACTCCTGCCACCTCCTCAGCTCGAGAAGAGTCATCAGCAGAGAGGAAACGGCCAACCTGCCTGTAACCGCCAGCTGGAATGCCAGAGGCAGCACAAACACTCAACCGGTTTGGCCGAAAGAGCTGTTTTACGTCGAGCCTAACAGAACGACGAGGGACTTCGTCTAGCTTGCCGATCAGCCTCAGAAACTGCCAGTCTTGGTTATGAAATGCCATTACTTCCTTCACCGCTGCCCGCCCTTCTGCCCGCAAAAACCATGCGTTACCAGTAGCAGCCACCCCTGTAGCCAGATTTAGCTTGTGTGCAGGTTCCATCTTGCCATTCTCCATGATTCCTTCTGTACACTTAGCTGCTGCTTTTGCCGCTGCTGTTTCTCCTGCTGCTGCTGCTGCTGCTGCTGATTCTGCTGTTTCTGCTGCTGCTGATTCTGCTGCTTCTGCTGCTGCTGTTTCTCCTGCTTCTGCTGCTGCTGTTTCTGCTGCTTCTGCTGCTGCTGTTTCTGCTGCTTCTTCTGCAGCTGCAGCTGCTGTTTCCTCTGCTGCTGTGACCAGCTCTTGAAGCGTATTTACACTCCCTAGAGAATGTCTTGGAGTTGCGGGTCTCAGGTTCGCTCCAACTCCTGCTGCTTTGAGCGCCCTTGCGTGAATTCGTGCTCGCCTGAACGCTGCTGCCGCTGCTTCTGCTGCCACTGCTTCTGCTGCTGCTGCTTCTGCTGCTGCTACTGCCGCCACTTCTGCTTCTGCTGCCTCTGCTGCTGCTGCTTCTCTGCTTTGCATGAACCTATGAGCAACGCGCCGCCCTTCCTTGACAGCCTTATTAGCAGCACGAAAAGCAGACCGGCCCCCTTCCCATGCAGCATAGAAAGCACAGCGAGACCCCACGACCCCCAGGTACAGTGGGAGCACGAGAGCAAAGAGCGCTCCAGATGCAACCTTTGTCACAGCACGGTAACTCCCTCTTTTAGCCGCCTTAAAAGCACGTCCCACCTTGGTAACTACACGCTTGCACATACTTGACAAGAGCATGCGGTGTGACATTGTCAGCAGCAGCACCGGGTGCACCTTGAGTTTCACCTCGAGTTTCATCTCCGGTGACATTGTCTGGCGGCAGGGGGGGCCGTGTACTGAACATGGGCCTACGACACAGATCCATGATGTCTGGAGTGCGCAGGCTGAAGGGCACCTCGAGAATACTGGGAGCGTAACTGAGAAGCCGAGGAGAAACCGCCTCAACGGGACCAACCAGTGTGTCACGGACCACAACACAGTTCAGCGGGTATTTCTTTCTACATGAAGCGCACAGATCAGAGAAGCAGCACCGGCGGTCCTCATCTGCATCATAGGATCGCTCCTCTTGAGGGTTCTGAAATACTGGTTTCAATTGATAGCGTCTGAGTTTGTGGTGTGCTTTTATGCGGTTGTGACAGTAGAGAGGCCAGAGGTGGGAAGTTGATATCTGGTGCAGGTGCTTGCACGCGAGGGCTAGGTTGGCGATGGTGATTCGAAGCTGATAGCATGTCATGCTCGCTATAGACACAAAGATTTCGGGACTCAGATCCAGCAAATTGGTCAGCCGCTCTTCGTTAGCAGCCGTGTTCGTCATTCTAGCACCCTTGGAAAACCGTATTACTTCAGGACTGTACAGAAGCAAGTCTCCTTGCAGTTTTGCGCGATCTTGGTCAGAGATGAAGTATAAATCGCCCAAAACCGCACATCACAAGCAAAAATTGGACTAAAAAAGGGAGTTACTTTCAGAATCAATCGGAAATACTCAAACTAGTCACAGACTTGGGTCTTGCTGCGATGGATTGGACTACAGCCTAGTTGACAGTTCCGACTGTAGCTGGGCTAGACTCGTTAGCCTTATAGAATGCTTGGTCTGTAGCTTAGACTGCACGAATGATTCGCGTAAAAATGATCTATAGCGTTGGAGTGGTAACCGCTAGACTGTACCTGGACTGCACAAATCATGCTAGGTAACCTTTTTCGTCAGCTCAAAAGTCACTCTGTAACCTGGACTGTACACCCGCGTAGCAACCAGCGATTAACTCTGGAATAGCGGGGGACGGACTGTTTGAAAGTGAAGGAGTCCGAATGGGCTGTATAAAGATGACGGGTGACAGGGGTATAACTGTCTGAGATTAACAAACTGTCAGACGCCATTAAAGAAACGCCATTAAACACTGTATCCGGCTTTGAGAAAACTGGTGTTTGATGAGCGGGTAGTGAGCCTGGAGTCAGTATCTGGATTTCGCCTATCGCGATCATGCTTTAGAATGGTTCGCTGCGATTTTCTAGTTCGAAAACGTCTAGGTCTACGACAGTTTAGAGACCTTCTGGCTCCAGCAAAACCAAATATATAATGTTGCAGTTCCGAGAGACTCTCGCTGATACCTATGAAAGCATTCAGCACATCGACAGAACCCATCGACCGTCGCTGACGTAATCGTTGTGACGCAGAGGCGAAGCTAGGGGGATTCCTGAGTCCTGACTCCTGAGAAACGCGCAATCTCGTGGTACAAAGCTCTTTGATCGACAGCATGTGGCACCCCGTGGACTGAGCATGACTGTAGGTAGAGCACAGGTGAAAACAAGAGACTTGCACGACTAGTTAGTGACTACCAGTAGTACGTGAGTTTAGCTAGTTTTCCAGGGAAGCTGGTCTTCCGGAACGGAACTGACTGGGGGGGAACGGACTGGAAATACTCGCTATAGGCGCAATCAGAATCAGCTCGTCAAAAGTGTAGATTGATTACAAAGGTAACGCGACCCATACCAGCTACCACCCTCCACCAATTTATACCACTCTTAGGAAGGATACCAGGAAAGATGTTTCCAGTCGTGGAAAAAATAATGGAATACATTACAGAGCTTGCTTCCATGTTGGTGTACTGTTCATGCCTGGGCTGGTTATTTCATCCCCTTGCGGGTAGTACCTACCTCCTTTTGAGGATTTTGGGGCATCGCAAACGAATTTGCTGACGGTTCAAACAGCATGGTTTACCACTATACACATTCAGACGCAATCAGCAACCTACTCTAGTACTGGCAAATCCTCTACATTCTAACACTAGAATTGAAGCTATAGCACACCACATTCTAAGAACCCATGAACTTTCTCAACCCCGCAGAGGCATCAGCCCCATCATATGTACAGCACACTTCTGAACCAACTTCGCACACTATTCCTCAGCAATTCCTCCCTACCCACCTTGCACATTATTCCTCAGACTGCCTTAGACCCATCATCCTCGCAGCAAGACTCTGTTCCAAAGACAGGCTCTGCAGATTCCTTTTCTGCAGTCCGTGTTCCTGGTGAGCAGACCACACAAGCCGGGATGTCCCGGCACTTGCACGAATCAACACTCACGCTTGCAGGCTCGCCTGGGGACACGCCATAGCCGGATAGCGACGCCGGATTGGATGAGAGATTCGGCGCATGGATAGCACAGGTGCACTGATGATGATGCTGCTGATTCTGTGTTGCAATGATGGCCTTTGCTTCCTCCATGGTTGGACTGTTACGGGTAAAAAACATAAGGATGGTTCACTATGAGACGTATATTATTGGCAAGAAAACGACACATCTGCTTGTTGCTGGAGGGATTCGACAGGATGTTAACGTACAGGAAGTGGATACTCCAAGAGATGTATTTATTACTCAGTGAGCGCAGCGCGAGAGGTGCATGATGCGCGCCAGCTCGTCCGAATTGAATGAAAAAACGGCGGGGGAACAAGGGCTTACCTTTGACCTGGAACAATGACGGCGGAAAATACGACGAATAACGAATCACGGCGGTGACCTGAAGTTGAACGAATCGCGGTCGTAAGTTGAACTGCGCGGTCGTAACTTGAACTACATACACGAAGTGTGTCGCTGAAGTATCGTGCTACGTACTACTTATTCGAGTACCTTGACCAACTAAGATTCTTGATTGTCTTCAAGGCGTCCGAAAGCTCATCTTTGTCATAGTGACCCAGCGAACAGCCAAATGCCAAGCCAACTTCAGTACAGGGAGGCGCATCGCACGCAATCTCAAACCACTGAGTTGAGGGGGATGTGGTGGTGGTTTCTGCGTGGAACGCATGCTGACGTGTGACTGAGGATGCTGGATGAAGCTTGAGATGACGATGGAATGGATGCCACCTTCTTCAGCAGACGTGGCTTTCACAAATCATGAGTCACCACTCATACTCTTTAAACGCCTCTTCGGGATTACTGATGCTAGGTGGAAAGCGACGAGGTACGTAACGTTTCTGTGATACCATATTCAATTGGAGCAGCCGTCGGTCTTTGGTTCAGCGGTTTGACAACGGTTCCACTTCCGTTCCAGCCAATCTGAGCTGGCGGTTTTGCCTGTCGCATTGAAACCAAACGGGCTTCATGCTGGCACATTTTGTCTGCCCCTGCACTTGCAAGTGCTCTGTTTCTCCAAACCGAGTCAACGAGCAGTGCTACACTAGCTGGTCAAAGGTACAAGAGATTCGTCGTGGAGGGTTTCGGGGTTTGCGATTGTTGTACAGTGCACGTATGGAACTTCAAATTTTCACAATCCAGTGATATCAGGGCTTGCAGATGAAGGAAAGCTGAAACAAGGAGTGACATCAGTACACAAAGTCACCCGACTAGGACTTCGAAACCTGGTCGAAACTCCAACTCAATGCTGAGAGCTGGGTTCAGCAGAAATGGAATCACCGACTCGGCTCGGCTCCACCGTCAGAGGCGCAGCACTTCACCTTAAAGCCGGCGGCCCAAATTGTTCATGCTTTTAAAAGCTGACCAGAGGGAGTTTTTCTGGTGTGGGCTTTGGCGAGAGTTTCCGATTTCGTCTAGGTTCTTTTTTTTTCGCGAGACCCAGCCAGCCCTCGGTTTTCCCCCTGGTGAGTGAATTTGTCTTCAATAGTCCCAAATTGCAAGTGCGTGACTTTCAAAAGCTTGGACACTCAACTTCGTCAAGCTTTAAAAACTTGACCCTCGCGGCCCGCAATTTAGGACGCGGGTTTTAACTGACCTGACACCTGAACGGTGATGCACCCAGATTCTTTGCAACTTGAGGTCATTTGAATCGGGCCAAGATGTTGATTGCAGCGCCAATCATATCTCATTGGGCATTTTTGTGCGGTAGACCGGCCCAGGCAGAAGTGTCTTGGGAGGTACAGGATGGTATGAAACCGTTTTCCATTGGCATGGGCAAAACGAACTGATTAGCCTTGCC